CCCCCTTAGTTTCTCTAAAGGTGCATCATGGTTCTAAAAGTGAGGGCCCACTTAGAATTATGCAGTCCATTGCAACATGTTAATGCATGAATGTGCATTAAAGCAGTCTATTTATTGGAGGGGGCTGGCAATGCACCAATATAAGCCAAAAATCAGATTTGCTCCTTTGTTCTGACTTAGACACATTGCAAATCGAGAGATAACATTTTCCTGGTTTACAAGGAGTGAAGATTTGAAACTCTTTAAGCCCTTTAGGACATTGTAACACAAGAGGAATTTCTCTGGCTGTCACAGAGGTCACATAGTCAGGATCCCTTCCTGCCAGCTCCTGATCTTCACAGAGTAAATGGGAGTTGCCGGTGACATCACAGTCACAAAAAATATGCTGGCTGTGTACATATACTGTATGTGGCAGGATGGCATAAAGCCCACCTCCATTATGTCACATTTATGGGTACAGCCACTGGGAAGGGGTTAAATAGATCCATTTTGGTCACTGTCAGCTGTTTTTATATACAGTATGTGCTTGTATTTCCAATCTTTTTAATTTCTGACAGATCTCTCCGGCTTAAAAAAAATCCAGTTTCCTTTTTTCGCAGAGCACACATGTAATTTGGCATTAGCACCATCCCATTGGGTATATAGACTTTATATTGTTGAGCTTTAAACTAGGCAGGCAATCGTTATTCTTTTAAATATAACTGACACAGGTGCAGGTAAGGGAAACGTGTACTGCAAAGATACTGCCATTGTTGAACTGTCATTGTTGCAGTTGGAAATGCTATTTGCTGGCTTCAATGCTTTTTGATTCACTTACCAGGAACAAGTATGCAGACCAGGAGTTCTGACTCTCTTTGAACTGTTCTGGAACAGTGACTTAGATCATATGGAGACAAGGCAGCTTCAATTGGAGGTTAGCAAAGGCAGCTTCCATTTTTATCTCCATACAGGCTTCAGTTGAAAAACAATTTAATTCAAGACAAAAAGCACCAGAATTCCCAGAAATACAAAAAGAAGCACAGCAGAGCTGGCCAATAGTAGTCCGTTAATGGTGGGAGTTTTCACAGGTTCTCCTAAAACCCCCTGCACATTCCGTTACAAGCTGTTAAACTTATCACCTACATTGATTGTGGATGTGTCTGTTTTAACATATATTTTACAATTTGCAAGGTTAATCAACATGCTTAGAAACAGGCTGGCAATAGCTCAGAACATCCAAGCTACAGTTGGATATGATTGTTAGCTTTTGCAAACAGTGAATCATTGCTATTACTGAATGTTGTGTTTATCCTATAGTTCTTCTTTATTGGAATATATATAACGTATAGTTCTTACAGCCAAATTTTATAAAATAGGGAGTCCTGGGCATATTATTTTGCAATCGTTCAAATAGGCATCAGGTAGGATTCTGCTTTTTCCTATCAAACTTGAGTGGTGGTTTCCTTTTCAGTGATTCGTTTCCAGCCTCACTGAAGTTTACCCAGATAGTGAGGGGAGTGCGTTTCTCCAATCATACATGCATTTAAAAAAAAAAATGTTTTATTCAATTTTTTCCCAGTTTTTATTTAGACAGACACTACCCCAACCACTTTAACAGTATTGATTGTGTTATATTTAAGAACTGGATGTTTTTTCCCTGCAAAGACAAAATAAATATGTAGAGTATTACTAGAATATGAAGGATGTCGCGAAACCTATTGAAATCGTGTTTAGATGTGCGTGTTTATCATTGGAGTTATAAGTTGAGTGTGAGAATTGGGGCAATAGAGAAGCAAATGAACCATGACACAACAGTCATCTAATTTCATGTATCTTGTAGACAGCAGGGTAATAGGTTCATTGTAGCAGGCACATAATGTATTATTGTTTCTCAAAACTTTAGGTAGTAATATTAATTATTTGCAGATAACATATTTATGCTAGATGTTGTTTAGATAGGCTTATTATAGTCTTTTCTTTGTCCAAAACATCAGTCTTCTTTATTGCAGTCTAAACTAAGTATAAAATCTATGCGTATTATAGGATTTAACATACATAGTTTATTCCAGATAATTACTGCTTTATGCATATTGTTTTTATTACCATGTTTACAGCTTACATAACAGAGCCATAAAAGAGCAACAAGTAAAAATGTGAGATACAAAAAGAAAGGCATGTGGTATACTGGAACATATTTACTGAGTTTTTATTGTAAAGCACATATACCACATATTGCCATGTACAGTACAGACATTGTGCATATTGTATTTAATATGGAAAGGACAAAAACTATTTTTTTAAATAGTTTCATTCAACTAAATATAAAGGATTACCTATTAATATTGTTAGTTCTTCTTTTGTGCCAGCAGGTGAAGCTTTAAAATTGAGACTAGGGATGTTGATACCAGGTACCGTACCTGGTACAAGTACAAGTACATGTACATATACATTTCCCGCTCCAAGACTAGCTCAGACTAATGATTTCAGGACAGTGGTGGAGAGCCAGAGCCAGGTCCCAGCTGCAACCGCTGCAAACCTGCTAGTTGTTGTGAAAATGCCAAGTAACGGCACTGGTATCTGAACTGGTATCTGGACATCCCTGAGAGCATAGAAAAAGTAATTTCTGAAAGCTTGATTACAGAAGTTGCAGTAAATCATCTGAACACTGACATATTCCAGCTGGCATAGACTATCAAACCATAACAATTATAATCAAATTACTTTATTCTATACATAAATATTCAAACATCTAATATTTATAAAGTTTATGAATGTCTATACACTAGCAAGGTCCCAGGTAATCTACTGTAGTGATTGATAGAGTCTAATAAGCTGAATATATCAAATAATAAACCTTCAATTCAGCCTGAAATTCTGAAAACTTGAACTATACTAATCAATAACTCCCTCAACTATATAGAAGGAACAGAATGATTGCCAGCAATGAATACACTCACCCAGAAAACACATGCAATATCACTTGAAAAAAAATATGCTGTGTTGAAATAGAGAATACTCGATAGATACTATTTTTTTTATATTTACTAACGATGTGACAGTAGCCATGTACTGCTAAAGAAAGGTTTGCAGATCACAGGCCAATTCACCCAGTATGTGCAGAATAAGCATCAGGTTCTCACATTAAATATGTCTGACCTGCCAAAACATGTTCTTGGCAACCACATACCTAACTGTACCAAATTCAAAACCAGATAAAGCAGTGAATATGACATGTAATAAACGTACTGCAGGTGAATCAATCCCTTTTAATCAAAACACAGGGAAGGCAATTAATCTGCAGTCAATAATTAGTGAATGTCACATTCACTGATCTAGAAATATGTCACTTAAAATATAACTGCACGTTGACCAAAATTTTCTAAATTTTTACTCATTCCAGCTTTCTCTGAAGTCCTGTTTTCAGAAATACTCCCAGCAATTTCCTAGCTATGAGGATTTTCTACTGTACTTTGCATTTCTTTTCAGGAAGAGGGATTAAACATTCAGTTCAATGAAGAACAGTTTTCAAACACCTCCTACTAGTGGTGGCTAGCTTGTTTACTGTAAAGATGGATGCAAACACAGCAAGATTTATCTTCAGGAAAGTGGGATTTTTCACAGGCTCCACATAGAATTATAAATACATATTGTTTTAGTAAAATGCAGTAATATTATATACTGCAGTCATAAATGTTGTACACAGTTGCTGCATAAGCACAGAGGGGCACACAAAGACAGATGCTTTATTCAGCTGAGCATAATTATTTAAGTAATGAACAGGAAATCACAGTATAGTACTGCAGATGAGGTGGTATGTTCAATTTAGATACAAGGCATGGGCCAGCACCACAAAACAGTAGGAGAATGGTAAGACAGTCTGGATGGCATGTGTGGTCCAAGAGTATAAATAATGTACCTATAACTATAGAAGGAACACGCCTAGTGTCACCCATCCAGTTTCATCAGTGTCACACCCAGCTTCTTCAGGGTTTTTTCCCCTGACAACATTCTCTTAATGAAACATGTAGAGCAAAGCAGAAGTGTACAGTGCAGTGTAGTGTTGTGCTTGAGAAGTATCAAGCCTGTGCCAGTTGTATTTATTTATTAATACACTGATTATTGTGCTTCATTTGTTCATTAAAAGGATTTTACACTATTTGGGATCATCATTTCTTTTGCATGTCCTAGGAAGATGCTGCCTGAAACTTCTGTGGGTTGTGCATAGCAAGAGAGTGTTGGCTTGGACAGAGAGAGACAGAAAGAGAAAAGGAGATATTAGGTTTTCTGGAGATGGCCATTAAAATAATTTGACCTTGTTGCTGTCCTCCAGTCTGGGTGACCCCCAATTGGAGGAATCACTACATTTGAGAGTTTAGAATTCATGATGATTTAGGGTGGTGATATATTACTTTTTACTCCCTTTTGGGGGACCCAGGAGGTGGTAGCTGATCTATGCTAGAGGTTAATTCTTATGGATCACAAGCAATTGAAACAGACATTGTTGTCAAATCTTTTAATGTTTTTTAACTTTGGAATAAAATTCTTCCAAAAATTATTTATGGCACCAAATGTGTGATTTGGTGCCTTAAAAACCATTTTTTCTATTTTTGTACATACTTACGACCTTGGGGTGTGCCTCCATTGGACAGGGGTGTCACCAATGCACTGTAATAATATGAAATAGTAAGTGATAAATCTTATGTCTTTTGAGATGCTATTTTGATGACTAGTACTAGGTACACTATTGGAAACAGAGGCAATAAACAAGTGTATTGTTTTTAAACAAACCTTTTTAATAAATGTGTCTTTTCAGCTCAATTTGACACCACAATTTATAGCACTGTTACGGCTTCAGGCACTGAAATGGAGGGCAGAGGAGAGGATTTCCTTCAAAGGTACCATGGAATTTGCTGTCAGAAAATGTTGGATGTGATTCAAGTAACATTTTACTGTATATGGTAGACAGAAATTCACAAATGCTTAGAAACACCTTCCACTAAAGAAAAAAAAAATATCCAGAATTGTATGTAAGAGAAACATTTATTTAAATCCACACAAGAACACAATTATACTAAACGTATCCAGTCAAGAAAAGAAGTCAAAAAGTGCATGAAATAAAACAGCAATGTTAGCTTTTCCCTCCAAAACACATTTTTCCCATGCTGATACAGAAAGTGTACCAAAGAATAAGAGGTGTCTATAACACATCTTCATTTTATTTGCAAAATCACTCCCTACAATATATAATAAAATATTTTAGATTGGTGAGAAAAATATGTGCAGGTGATATCAAGTGGTACAATATGGACCTAAACACTCCAACCCCCACCCCGCCAAGAATCTTTAGTTCATGTTCCAGGACTTGGTGAACCTAGCAGTGATCAAGGCAAGCAATTTTACCGTGGGTGTATATACCATTGTTTTCAAGGTATTCCATTATTTTCAAGCAACAGCTGGCATAAAGCTGATGTTAAAGTGCTTAGTTTTATCCTTAAACATGAACAGTTCCATCTGTGAAGCAGAATAGTACATCACCAATCCCCTTTGAAAAATATGATTATGTAGTGAATTCCATGTAGGCATTCTGCACAAAAATGTCAGTGGCAACTGGTATATATTTGGCCTCAAGTTTAGTAAAAAAAAAGAAAAAAAATCTTTTTAGTAGAAATCTCCCGTACATAAGATGTTACGTTTTTTCTTGTCTTTCTTGAACGGTAGGGAGTATTATCATTTTTGGTGTAAGGTCTTTTTATAAGAGAAGATAACATTCTTTATCCTTGAACCTTCTATAGTAGTAGCTGGTTGTCATCACAGCTCCTGAAGGCACTGAGGGTCCACTGAGCAACATATGTGGCCATTCTGTAGAAGAACAAAAAGATGTGATTAAAAACTTGCAATAATCTGCATGACTCCGGTCAAATGACTTAATACACAGTTGAAACACATATTTTTTCTTTGTTAGCTGCCAAAGCATTTGTAATTTTGTCCATCCATTCTTTTATTTAGAAACCTCTATTTAAAATTGATATTTTTGTTTTGGGTAGATGCTGTTGGGACTTTTTTTTATATCTTGACAGCTACAATGTAAACATCTTCACCCAAGTATTGCTGTTTACTATGTTATCTCTGCTGTGTTAGCCAAAAAACAGCCCCCCCTCCCTAGAGATCCCTACCTTGTGATTGTGCAGATATAGCATCACTGTTATAAACGGTACCTATGTATCTTGTTTTAAGAGAACCTATAGCTATTGGTCTGTCTACAGAAAACCCTTTGGCGTGCACAGAAGTCACAATTACCACAACTGTGGTTTTGGTTGTGGCATTACAAAAATATTAAATTAAACTTCCCTTTGGGCACAGCAGGTTTTTCAAAACCATATAGTTAACTATGACCTCCTAAGATGTCTTTGTCCCTATCTAAAAACTTAATACCCCCCAAGCAGCTGGGGTAGAGTGATAAAACCCTCCAATGATTAAGTGAAACTAATATTGCAATATTGGTTTTATATATAGTTCTCACACCTGTACAACCCCTTTTTTTTTTAAAAAGTGTTACTGTAGTTAATTTTATTTGTCCTGTTAAAATTGACACTAAAATTCATATTCTGGTACATATTCTGGTACTGCAACATGTTTTCAAATGAAAAAAAGTTTTTTAATGCAAAATTATTGGAACCAAAATACTAAAAAGCAGGAAAATTATTGTTTAGGTGAGAAGAGGAAGAAGGAGTTAATTAGGGCTGATTAGGGAAAACTAAGGGGTCTATTCACGAAGCAGCCGAAGGATCTAGCCGTAGCTTCAGCCGATCCTTCGGCTAGCTTCGGCCCCAGGACCCCTTCGGTTCAGTAGAACTGAAGGGCTGCTGTACGGGCTATTCACTATAGCTCGTACAGCTCACGAACGTGGCCGAGCGGCTCAGTCGAACCGAACGCATATGCCTCGGCTTTGCTGAGCCACACTGGAAGCCGAAGCTGGCCGACAGCCTGCTTCTGACAGCTGGGCGGACACTGATCTCCAAACAGCCTAACTTTCCCTGGCGCTCCGGGAGTCTCCCGCTCCCGGCTGCCAAGGAGAGAAACACTGCTTTTTCTTTTTTTTTATATTCTGACACGGAGCCGTGACAGAATAGAAAAAATATATATATTTTTGGCCATAGGAATGCATTGCTAGATTTCTATTGGCTATTTCAATTTGCAATAGCCAATAGCAAACTAGCATTGCTGCCCTCTGCTGCAGTTCTCCATCAGGTCCACACTACTGATTGACAGCAGCAGAGTGCAGGAACAATAGCTAGTTTGCTATTGGCTATTGCAAATTGAAATAGCCAATAGGAATCTAGAAATGCATTCCTATGGCCCCAATTTTTTTTTTTTCTATTCTGACACGGCTCAGAATAGAGAATGTCAGAATAAAGAAAAACAAATGAAAACGCAGTGTTTCTCTCCTTGGCGAGCGGCAGACTTCCGAAGCGCCCGGGAGCAGGAGACTCCCGGAGTGCCCGGAAGATTTTTTTTTCTCTTTTTTTGGACGGCAGCAGAACCGCCGGACAATAGAAAACAGTTTTGCCAGGCAGAAAGTGAAGGAGTCTCTCCAATAGGGCATCCAAAGGCAGTAAAACCTGACAAGAGTTCTAATACTTTCCCACTCTATCCAAAGCTAAAAAAGTTTTAACTATGGGTACACTTTAAAAATAACCTGTCACATACCTGTACAACTAAATTGAAATATGCTATGAAAAAAATGCAGAGATTACCTACACAGAACACTGCATGTCAGAAAGATCAGTAGTTTAATAAATATATGCTGCTTGTGTTGTATACAAGCCTTTACTTTCCCTGCAAAAGCTTCTCCCAGCCTTTTCTACTTCCCAAGCATTTCTGCTGGTCATAGAACATAACATGCATGGTGTCATTGTACAATAGGGAGGCTCAGGATGTGGCAGAGGCAGAGTTACATTCAGCTTTTTATAGGCAATTCAAATTTTGCATTTAACTTTTGCCTTTGTCTTTGGATCCACCCAATCCTTTTGACATGTGGTGTTAACTAAACTTTGCTTAATTATTTTTTCATTATATGCTCAGTTTTAATTGGACATAATTAACATTTTATAACTATATGAAAACTATATAAAAACACAGCAGAAACATTAATGTAAAGAAGTAATTTGCTTTACATAATTACATTTTTATTGGAAACATTTCCAAGATAGTGATAACACTTTGCACCTTATCTGAAACTGTCTTCACCTTGTTGTGGTCAAATTCTTAACCTAACTGGCATTGTCTTTTGTCTTTTATTAACAGTAAATCTCAGACTTGCTGAGAGGCATCGACCCTGGTTTCATCACAGTAATCCAGCTTTCTCCTTACCTTTCATTTTTTGAGTTATAATTCTAAAAATATACAGAGTGCCTCCAATTATGAATTGGGACCATGCAGCATTCAGATGTTTGGGAAGACACAGCAAATATGGCCTTGGGTCAAATATAGTTTGTAAAGCCATCCACAGGGCATATAAAGCAACATTTAGAAATTGCATTCAAAACAATCTTCCTAATGTGCTCAATATCCACATAATAAAAATAATATATGTGGAAGCAAGTAATTTATTAAATTATATTGATGTTTTAATATCCAGGACGGTGTATTCATTAAAATGCTATCACAGATAATGTTTAAAACATGAAGGAATAAAATGTCATCTCTGCTGATGCCTTCGCTTGAATCAATTTCTTGGGTTACTTTCCCCTGCTCTTTTTTCCCCTGCTCTCATCAGTGAATTATTTGTTGCATATTAAAAGGAGCAGTTAGGAGATGAGATGCTCTGTAGTATACTATAATAGAATGTATTAAATATTGCATATGACATGCGTGCAATATTCATGCTTCATTCTGACACAAAACTGCCTTGTGTCATCAACCTTTTGTGTCAGCGGTAAGGACAAGTTCATAACATGGATTGATATGCTGTGATACCATTAGCATTACAGGAAATATTACATATTACAACTGTAATGCTGGTCATTGAAATACTGTACAACACTTTGGTCTGTTATATATACTGTGTATAT